GGTGGGGAAACGCCAACAAGGGCGCAAAAAGCACTTATCTTCCTTGCTCTATATGCTCTAAATTTAACTCAGGGAAACCTACTGGCCCAGATATTTTGATTTGCCCCGTGGACCACTCAGATTTGGCAAATGGACTTCATACCATTGCTCCCATCTACTGGGCAGAAGAACATTCTCGTAACAGTTTGCATGTTTTCAGATTGAACTGCAGCTTTTCCATGTAGCTAGGCAACTGCTTCTTCTGTACCTAAATTCCTACTAGAAAAGGTTATTTCCCCTTGAGGACTCCACTTTGACCTTCACAGTGATTGAGGAACCCATTATAGGGGTCAAACACTTCGGCAAGTCTATGCTTCCTGGCCAGTTCAGCAGCTGTGCGTTACCATCCTCAGTCTTCAGGACTGGAAAAGTACAAATGGAATTACTAAACTCAAATAGCTAAATCAGTTGATATCTTCCAAATACCGTGGCCGAAAGCATTACCACTGGTTCTTCTAACCCTGAGATCTACTCTGTTCAGGATGCATAAACTTTTGGCTTTTGAAATAATTACAGAATGGCCAATGCGCTCAGCCCCCACTTCTTTTGACCCACAACTAATAAGGGGGTGGAGGGGTGGGGAGATGTACTTCCGTTTTGCAAAGGCCTGATCAAGTCCATAGAAAATAATCACACTCTGGTAGAACAATCTTTCCATACTGAGCTCCTGGGAAACCAAGACATCAAACATCACACCTTACAGTCTGGACATTTCAACTATTGGAAAAGACATCTCCAAACAGACTCTCTTCACCCTCACTGGAAAGGCCCCTACCAGGTGTGATTAACCTCTGAGAAGCCAAACTTCAAGGAATAGATTGCTGGATTCATGTGTCTCATCAGGAAAAAAGCCCCCAAATCTGAATGGACCAGCACACCATCTGGTGACCTAACAATGAAAATTTCCAGGAACTGAAGCAGATGGCATCGGAAGTAGACAGCGTACCCAAGATGTATGGACCAGGCCTGTATTAAGTATGTTTTCTCTTCTCACTCTGTGTTTCATCTTGCCATTCAGGTCTTCAATTGTTTCTTCCTTAGTTTTCCACTATCCTTTACTTTAGCTTTAATGCATCCTTTTAGCTCTGCCTTACAAAAACTCTCTGATTCTGCTAAACTTACTGATTTCTGGGTTTGTGCTAGAGGAAATATGCACGATGATGAATCTACCTGGCAAAGGTGTAGGACCTTCCTTTGGTACCTTTGAAACCACACATCTTCCCTCCTGGAAAACTGGCACAAAATATTATGGTTTTCCATTGGGTCTCCCCCGCGCCAACACACACACACTCATAATGCAATACTCTCACTCAGGGCTGGACTCTTACCCAAAAATCCTTTTTTTAAAAAAAATGATGGAAATGGCAAAACTCTAGGGTATCTCCCCATAAATATTTGTAACTATACTATTTTATATGACCTAGATGAACATGAATTCACTCCCTGTTGGAATCCAGAAGATTCTATTCCCTGTGGCAGGGCAACAGAAATGCAGTAAGACTGGAAATGGGAAGCTAATGTGCTCCCATTCAATGGTACTTCACTGGGGACTGACCAATATCTGGTAAACATGGAAACTTAGTTAAACTTACTTTTTTCCTAGAGATCTCCCAGACCTGAACCAAAATCTTAACTTATACTAGATCAGCTCATTTGTTACTTCAGATCCATAAAAATTTAAAGTGCTCGCATAATCATTCCCACAATGCTAGTAAAACAGATTATAATGTGCTCTGTATAATAATGATTACATTTTTGATTATGAGATCGTTTCTTTCATTCCAAGGGAAAGAATGTGGGCAAAAGGACCCAATTATTCCTTATCCTTAGAAGAGAGCGGGTACTTATTTTTATGTGGAAGAAACATATTCTATACTATCCCTCAACTGAAAGGGATGTGGAGGGATTGTTGCCTTACCCCTGATAGCAAAATAAGAAAAATCCTTTCTTCTTCTGCTTTTATACCTAATGTAGGGTCTTTGTCCTATCAACTTAAAAGAACACGTCGGAACTGAGAAGGTTATAATTATGGCTAGATACCTACATATAACCCTATAGTGGGCAGAAAAAGTTTGGGGCACGCTTTCACCAGAGCCTTTCTTCTTTGGGTTGAAGTAGCAAAAGTTAAACAAAGCAAAACAAAACAAAACAAAAAAACAATTTGCAATCTCTCTAGAGTTATGTCCACCACTTTCAATGCTTCCGTCCAAGGTTTTGCATATCAGCAGACCCAAATCCATAGCCTTGTAGAAGTAGTTCTTTAAAACTGCAGGGCCCTAAACCTCCTCACTGCCCAGCAGGGGCAACCAGTGTCCTACTCCAGGAAGAGGAGGGAAACTGATTGGGAAGTGCATTTCAATCACTAGCTACCACTGGGCTTTTGGTCCTCGGTTTAATGTTTTAATTTGAATTAAATTTCTTCTGTTTTGTATTAATAAGCCAATGTCTTCTTCCCAAATGTATGTATAAAATAAGATTCTTTTCCTTTGAAAAGCTTTTCTTGAAACTCAAATAATCATGGAAACTAAGCATCCACCTTAAAGGGACATACCTGAGATGATTCCTTTTTGAATCCTCTTATTGTTCAAATGAGGTCATTGACATTCCTTATCATTTCCCTCCTCCATGGGACAAGACACTTGAGGATGGGGTCCTCCTCAGCTCCGTGAGGAAAGATGACTGAGGATGGTCCTCTGCTCCACGGGAAGAGACACCTGAGGAAAACCCTCCTTAGCTCCATGGGACAAACCATACAATCCACCTACAAAGAACTATATTTTGACAAAAATGTCAATATGCCTGAAGGACATAACTGATCACCAATGTGTTCTGTGAAAGAGCTTGATCAAAAGGGCAAAATGTGAAAGGACTTCAATCTAAACTAGAACCAGAGGACATGAAATGGAAAATCACACTCCTGTGCCCTAAGGAAAACAAAACTTAAGGACGAGAGACTGCTTTCTCATAGTGGCTGATTTACAACAAAACTGATAATACTGTGATTTTCTTAATGATAGGGAAGTAATCGGAGGTTGCTTCATATCAACTTGGAAAGCTTTGCGTATGGTTTCCCAGAGGCATGAACAAGAAACGACCCAGGTTGCCTGTCTCGCAAAATGAGCGGAGTTGAACTTTGTTTATAAGACTGGACTGGTTTTGTCTGCTCGGGGAATTTTTAAGGCTGGTCTCTACTTGTTTCCAACAGATTCCAACTGAACTCTCCCCTCTTTGCATTCCCCGCCCCGAAGGACGGCCTACCCGCAACCTTCAGCGGACTTGCCTATAGCTTCCTCTCGTTTGTGGGTCCCAAATTATAATTTCTCCGCTATTCCCAAATAAACTCATCTCTTTTTAGGATTTTTGACCTTGCTTCTTCATTTAGGTGAACAAAGATGATCTTCATTTTCAAAAAACTTGAGGGAAAAGATTGGATCAACTGGCCAAAATCAAATGGGCTATCACCACTTCTGCTCTCTTGCTGTGTCCCTGTCACATGGAAACACCAAGAACTGGGCAAAGGGTAGAGTGGCATGCAGAGGACTCCCCTTGGTCAGTGCCCATGCCGGTTACAAGCCCATAGAAAACAAGGATACTGCTACATTTATTGAGCACCTACGGTCTGCCTGGGGCTGTGGGAGGCATTTCACATAAACATTAGTGGACAAAGGATCAAGACCTCAACTTACCATCCTGACATATCTTAAGAATCATAGTCACTCTGAGGTAACCTGAATGAGCTCTGCCGTGCAAATACCCTGTGACCCTGCCGTAAATTAAGCCATTTTACTAGTGAGCCCAGAGGGTAAAATCTAGCCTAGGCAGAAAGAAGAGAATACTGAGGGGAGTAACATTCATTAAGAGTGATTTATTTTTTTAATTCCATTTTCAGTGTTATCTTAAATATGTATTCTTTCAGCTGAAGGCTTTTAACTCATTTTTGCTTACCTATATAGTAAAACTTACCAGAATATGTGGTTTTCCTTTACCTATATAACATTTGGGAGGAGTTATTTCCTCGCCTCATATAAAGGTTTTTCACTTGTGTCTTAGGCATGTAGAGGGGTTTTTTTTGTTGTTTTTGTTTTTGTTTTTTTAAATCTGGCTTAAGCAAAACCTGCCCTCAACTTGATGATGTAAGAACAGTCTACCAGTTAAACAACTGTGTTCATTTAAAAGCTGAGCTATTAGAACTTCAAGAAGACAGGAGAGTACTCTTGATTCCATCATTCATGACAAAGAACCCATTACAACCAAGGCTCTCAGCTGGTTTAGAACTACCACTGAATGACGGAGACAAAATCCAAAGAGACCCAGCTTCTGACAGGTGTATTTTCAGCCAATGGCAAACTGTTTTTTCTAAAATGGTCATGGCAATGAATTTCTAGGACTCTGCCATTCCCCGTCAAGAGTCAGAGCTTTCCTCCCCTCCCTTTCCTTTGAACCTTCATGGGATTTTTGACTGTTTCAACAAAAAAAACAGAGCAGAAATAATGTCACGGGACTTCTGAGGCTGGTTCACAAAAGGTGATATTCTTCCACCTGTCCTTTTTCGCTCCCAGGACACTACCCTTGAGAGCAGCCACCACGCTGGGAGGAAGCCCCAACTAGCCCACGTAGAGAGAGGAAATAGAGAGGATCAGAGGCACTCAGCAACAGCTAGCATCGGCCGTAAGCAATGTGAGGGAAGGAGCCTTCCATGGATTCTAGCCCATCTTCGAGCCACCCCAGTTGATGTACAGCAAAGCTCAGGTGAACCCTTCTGAGCCGCCTGCACAAACTGCAGATTCATAAAGCAAAATAAACACTGTTGTTACTTTAACTAAGCTTTCAGTTTAGTAACTGGAATGCAGACTCCGAACGGAAGGCCCATATGAATGAATTTCACATGAAACAAAAGAAACCTGATGTTCGACTCCCTGCTTTGACCCCAGAATGGAGGCAGAAATGAAAAATATACATACATCTTCCAACAGTGACGTCCTGCTGCAGGGCGCTTATGTACAGTTGCAGGGTCAGCTGTGGGGCTGAGCCCAGGAAGGCCTGGATCACGGACGCGCGGCTGAACGCAGACCGGTGTGTGAAGAGCTTGCCTTCCGCCTGGCCCACCTCCTTCTCGACTTCTTCTGAGAAGCCATTCTTTGGCATCTGTCGCTTCTTGGTGATGCTGACATAAGGCTCTTCGATGTGGCCTGATTGACAATAGATGCAGAAGACTTCAAAACACCTGCAAACAAATCAGCAAGTCAGGGTAATCAGAGACAGATGGGATTCTGTCTCTGCTTACACTTATGAGCCTGATTCTCAAAGCTTTGACTTGGCCACTCTGGACTACAGCCGCTTCTTTCAAATCATCCACTCCGAGGTGTTCTGAGCATGAAGTGAATCCTCTTGTGGCCCTCCAGCAGGTCGGCTGGAAATGACTGTGAACCTAATTGAGAGATGACACCAAAGGCCACCGAGGCCAGGAAACAGAGTAGGGAATGGGAATCGGTTCACACTGCAGAGTTAGAGAAGAATGTTCAGTTTCCCTTCAAGACACTTACTAGCTGTGCAGCCCTGGGCAAGTCATTTAACCCTTGAACCCTTTCCCTCAGTTATAAAGCAGAGATAATACCTACTTGGCCACACTGTTATGGCAATAATACAGTAAAGGGGTGTATATGTTTGTGTGTGTACTGATACATGTAGGCATATATATATATATATATATATATTTCCACATCCAGTAGATGCCCCATATCACCTCAGCTAAAGCAGCAGCTATGGTTGGGAGAGCCCCTAGCACAGAGCGGCTTGCCATCTAGCACTCGCCTATAAGACCACAATATACTACCTAGCTCTCTGCTCTCATAAACCCTTACAGGACATGACTAAAGTCAGTCCTGTCTGGAGGTCTGTCAGCTATGTCTTACTTATGAATAAACTTGCCCCAGGGATGGAGACTTAACCAGTCACCTTTCTAGAATAACAGAGTACCCGGCTTTTAAAGTTAGATTTTCCTCTCTAGGTAATGATAGGGATACTAAAGGGAAGAAGAGTGCTGATGTGCGTGATTTAGTTTGAATCGCGCGCACACGCGCGCACGCACACACACATACACACACGGATTGAGGGGTCAGTCGAGGGACGGAAACTCGTATGAAACAAAATGTTAACTATAGAACCTAAGTGGTGAGCACTGTAAAATTCTTTCAAGTTGTCTTCTGTATGTTTGAAAAGCTTCATAATAAAATGTTGGGAGAAAATGGGTTTTTCTTAGAAATAAGAAAAATGCTCATGGCCTTAGGTTTAAAAATTGTTAAAGGATGTTTTTTCTCCCAACGTGCATTTTTATAATAACCTTATAATGCTGCCAGAAGGTTTTATGGCTTCATCTATTTTATTGAAAGTTATTAACTTTGTACTCTTACCTGAGGCCACTATGGCAACAAGAATACATTTATAATTTTAAATAATAAAACTTGATGTAAGAAAGGAAATGCAAGAGTCTTTCTGATGAATACAAAGTGGACATATTTTGTGACTGCTGTCTTTGTTCGTTTCTTCCTGGGAGGGAGAAGGTACATAGCAGTATACGTGTGTATGTAAGAGAGAGAGAGATAAGGTGAGGAAGACAGGTTTGTCTGGTACATTTTGTTCAATGGGGTCAAAGACACTTTGATATAATACATAAAAACAGGTAAAACAGCCTGGGCCAATCTGTTCAACTGAAAATAATGAAGTACAGGTTATGAGTTCAAGTTCAGCTAATGCAACTGACTTTTCTCTGAGAAAACCCTCAGATCTACAAGAACTACTTGAGGCCTAGCAACTTCATGCAACAAGGAGTACAAGACAGAATAAATTGACCATCGTCTTAATTCTCAAATATGTGGTGAATGCAGATGGACTTTGCCAGTGCTGTGGGAAATGCAAAGACAGCTGGGGTACACCTGCCTCGTTCACAGAGGTGCTCATAATCTAAATGGAAAAGGGTCCATATACACAATGAGGATACTAATGAACACAATTAATATTTATATAGCACTTTCAGTTTACAAAATATTTCTCATATATTAACTCAGAAAGCCTACTGCAAAGATTTGAATCATAGCATTATTTGCAATAGCAAAATTCTGAGAATAATCTAAGGGCTCCAAAATAAAACAATAATTAAATAAATCATAATATATATAGTCAATGAAGTATTACTCAATCCTTAAAATTGATGGTACAGACATACATCTACTAATATATAAAAATGTTTACTATATTTGGTAAGTGAAAGGAATAAATTATAATAGAATACATATAGAAAATTCAATTTTTTATTAAAGTCACATATATAAAAACATATAAATCACACATACATATAAACACTGGAGTGCTTAATTTGACTCATACTGACTCAAGAGACTGTTAAATAGTTAGGAATCCTGAGCCAGTTGTTAAACAACTGGTAGCTTGAAATAGGCCATGATGGGAATATTTATATCACAGAAACCAGGAAACTCCACAATTCAGGGCTTTTTCTCCCAAGAGATAGTTTACCAGCTTACTGCTATAAAAATATAAGTAAGGATATACAACAAAAGGGTAAAAATTCTTTTTAGGCAGTCAAATTAGGTTTTTAAAAATTTTTAATTGTGTGTTTTCTGCTCTTCTGTCCTTTCAACAACAAATATGTTTTACCTGAGTAATAAAATCAAACTTAGAATTTTTAAAGACTAAACAAACTACCAAACACCAGCACAGGCTAAGAGGTGAATGGATGAAAACAAAGGTTCAGAGGAGAAAGCCAGTCTCTTGATGCTGAGGAGGGTGCTGTATGAAACAGGAAGCATGTACTGAACTGTTGACAAACTGAAACTTCAACGTCTACCAATAGGGATTATAGAAGGCTCCAGAATGGCTAATGACAAAGGTGGCCCTGAAGCCCAAGTGGCCACCCTCTCAATCCACTGTTTTTCCCAATTAATAAATTTATCTCAGCACAGAGTTTTACATATAGTAGGTGTTTAATAAATGTGTGTATGGTCCTAAGACTTCCCCTACTTGCCACTACTGATAAAGAAAACAGATAAGAAACAAACTACCATTCGGGGCACCTGGGTGGCTCAGTGGGTTAAGCCTCTGCCTTCAGCTCAGGTCATGATCTCAGGGTCCTGGGATTGAGTCCCACATCGGGCTCTCTGCTCCACAGGGAGCCTGCTTCCTCCTCTCTCTCTCTCTGCTTGCCTCTCTGCCCACTTGTGATCTCTCTCTGTCAAATAAATAAAATCTTTTTTTAAAAAAAGAAACAAACTACCATTCTTCTTGGAATTCTGCAAGACTCAACCAATTACTCCAAATGCAGGGTTTTTCCTTTCTTTTTTTCTTTTCTTTTTTTTTTGAGAGATTGTCTAAATATAGCTGTAAGTTAAATATTTTCATCAAAATCTTTCAAGGCTGTTTTTCAGTATCATGTAGACTGAGGGGTGGCAACCATTTTCTATAAAGAATTTACAAAGAGTAAATACTTTAGGCTTTGCAGGTCACAGTCTGTATCCCAACTACTCAACTCTACCACTGCAGTGCAAAGGCAGACATATGCAATACATTAAATGAATGAGCATGGCTGTGTTCCAATAAAACTTTATTCACAAAAACAGGTAGTGGGGATTTGGTCTGTGAGGCATAGTCTGCCAACCCATAACATAGATAATCAGCAGGCTGATCCACTTTTTTTCACTTCACCCCATTTTCAAGCATCATAGGGGAAGGAAATTATCCCTTAGCTGAAACCATGCTTGTTGGTGTCTCCACAAATAATCTGTGGTACCAGAGACTCTTTAAAGCAGTTAATAAAAACACGTTTCCAAAAGCAATTCTATGACTTCCAACACACCATGTTGTCTTCATGTGACCCACATGCTCAGTGAGGCTACACAAGAATCAAACTAGTTACATAGAAAGCACCACCTGACCTTTTAAAAGCCACTTGCATAATCTCCAAGAGTCTCAATTTCTCAAATGTAACAAAAAAGAAAATGACAGGTCTCAGGGTTTTAGAGTGGATGGAATTAAATACTGTACGTAGAAGCACTTCACAAACAACAAAAAAAAGCTCTTCGAATATAGGCTATTATTATTATTTTAAAATCTTTTGAAAGCCTATTATACAAAGAAATACTATGATGAATCATGTTGCAATGTTCTGTAAAAAATTACTAGGATTTCTTAGCTTTCATCTTTACAAACCCAGACTTTCCTCACTATACCAATAAATAAAAAGAGAGGAAAATTCCTTGAACTTGAAACTCATTTATATTTATTTCTTCTCCCAATTTATTTGAAAATTAACATAATTATAAAAGGATGAGAAACAGATTTTACTGTTGTTAGGTGTTTTTCCCCCTCTGGTTTTCCAGAATATCCATTATCATTCGCAGTAAGATCATCCTTAAAATAAAAAAAAAATTCAAGATACTATTCAATGATCACATCATTCAAATCTAGCCTTAATAAGGAAAAAACCACAAAAACTGCAACTACACTTTTAAATATAAGACTGATAAATGAAATATGATGCTTTCCCAGTGCTTTCCTAAGGGAAAGAAGGAGTGGGGCCTAGTTCTTAGTATTTAGCCCATAATTATTACAGTGTAATGCAGTACAGTTTAACTGAGTGAATTCAAAAACATGAGTTTGGCTACTTAGTACCCAACCAAAAATAAATTTTCCAAAGACAATTTCAAACTATTAGTAAGTCAAATCAGTAAAGAGGGGAAAGAAACAGACCATAACTCTCCTTTGAGGGAAATAATTTTGATCTTCAAGTAAAGCTGATGCCTTGGGAGTTAAAATAGAATCAAACTGTCAGCAGGAAAAACTTCGAATAAGATATTAAGTCCTGGGGTGCCTGGGTGGCTCAGTGGGTTAAAGCCTCTGCCTTTGGCTCTGGTCATGATCACAGGGTCCTGGGATGGAGCCCCACATCGGGCTGGGCTCTCTGCTTGGCAGGGAGCCTACCTCCCGCTCCCCCACCCCCCGCCTACTTGTGATCTCTCTCTCTGTCAAATAAATTTTTTTTAAAGATTTTATTTATTTATTTGACAGACAGAGATCACAAGTAGGCAGAGAGGCAGGCAGAGAGAGAGGAAGCAGACCCCTGCTGAGCAGAGAGCCTGATGTGGGGCTCGATCCCAGGACCCTGAGATCATGACTTGAGCCGAAAGCAGAGGCTTAACCCACTGAGCCACCCAGGAGCCCCTCAAATAAATTTTTTAAAAAAGACATTAAGTCTTGAGAATATGCAACAGCAAATCACTTTTCTCTTAATCTGGAAGCTAAGAGGTTTCACCCATGTTTTGTGTACCTCAGCTCTAAGATGATGGGCCCAATATCTCCTTGAAATAAATCAGCTCCATTAGAATGAGAGAGTCCTTATTGACAGAAAGGGGTGGTTCGGTGCTTTATTTTTTCTGTCTTATCTTGATTTTCCCCCAAGAAGACAATGACCCACTCAGAATTTTCTGGAAATAGGTCTTTTTATGGTATTGAAACTTTTTATATAGCTTGAGAGTTCTCTTCAAAGTACCCACCTTTTTAAAAATAAAGTTAAAATATTTTTACTATAAAAACGGAAAAATGTAGAGTAGTATATAACAAGGGGAAAATGATATACTTTTCTGTATTTTCTAGGAGATAATTAAAAGTGCCCATAACTCCGTCATCCAGAAATTACCACTCTCTACAACTTGGTATATTTCCTTGAGCTCAGGTTCATATGTGCTATCCTATTTTTATACGTATCACGTCACTAGCTTTGTCTTGGGTCACTATTAGAATTTAGAAAGATTTTAAATGGCAGTAATGATAGAGATCACTCACCTGGATAGCTATTTAGGTCATTTGTTTAGATTTTGCCAAGATGACCAAACTGTTTTAATTTAGGATGGGACTATTGGTAAAATGTACTCCACACTCTTTTGCTTTCTTTCATAGTGTGGGGAACATAATTAACCAAACCCAATTTCTTTTCTTTTTTTTTTTTAACCGAACTCAATTTCTAAGAAGCTTTGCGAACATGGTCTGAGGCGTCCTATTCCTCATCTATAAAATGGAAACAGTGACATCTACTTCATGGTGAGGATTCAGCATCCTGAGGGATCTTAGCACCTACCAAACCATGTAGCACAAGCTGAGAATTACCAGTTTCCCTTGATCTGTCACTTCATTTAAACATCGTGAGCAATGAGTTTTCTTTTCACAGATGAGGTTAATAAAGGATGAGTGCCTTGCCCAAAGTCAGATCCCGTTGATTTTACTGAGCGGGGGGAATTATAATCAGGATGCTGTCGCCTACCTGGCCAGAGAGGACTGACTCCTCACTAAATAGCTCCGAGTTGCTCGACTTTGAAAATTCCTCTCTCTTTCTTTCTCTCTAGCTCTGTCCTTTTTTTCCCTCCTAACTCTTCCCTTACTCTCAGATGTCAGCAGCAATGCTTTAGTTCCGCTAGGGTACCTGTTTCCGTTCCTTTCTAGGTTTCTGTGGCTTCTGGAGGGTGGGAGACTTGCTCACCCAGTTTGTCCTGACTGTGTGTGAGCTGCAGGGCGGTATTCTGAGCGTCAGCCGGGGACAGCTGTACTTAATGTGAAGTGCAAAGTTTTATAATAGGCCTCTCTCAAATCTACCTTGCTACTGGACTTCTTTTTGCCTCTGTGTGTGTTGGGGCAGGGGAGATACTGCCTGGTAGGGAAGGATTCGTGACTAGATGACTGGTAGGGAAAGATTCCTGGCTACCTGAATCTTCCCGCAGATGAGCTCTAGCCTTTCTCTCTCTTCCAATTCATCTCTCGCCTGTGTCCAAATTCTGTATTACAGGGGCGCCTGAGTGGCTCAGTGGGTTAAAGCCTCTGCCTTTGCCTCAGGTCAGGATCTCAGAGTCCTGGGATCGAGCCCCGCATCGGGCTCTCTGCTTAGCAGGGAGCTGCTTCCCCCTCTCTCTGCCTGCCTCTCTGCCTACTTGTGATCTCTGTCAAATAAATAAATAAAATCTTAAAAAAATAAATTCTGTATTATAATTTGCTTTCTAATACAGATAAGAATCCTTTGTTTTGCTTTTCCTTGCAGGGTTGAAAGGTGTCAACACAACACATTTTAAACTCTCTTCATGGTCCTTAAGCCAGTCTACTTCACTACCATGCATTCTACTTGCTTTGTGTTAATAGAAATTAATTTCCAGAAATGCCACTAATGGTTTTTTTCTTAACGCGGGCAAGTTTGTGTCTTCAAGGCACACTGTGTTCCAGCTTCAACGACTGTGTTTGTTAAGTTAGGCTGGGCTGGAAGGCATTTCCACAACCCTGTTTCCACACCAAGAGAATGATGCGTGGATTTCTAGAGCTCTGCGTAAGAATTAAATCAATTAGTATTTGTAGAGCGCTCAGAACAGTGCCTGGCACACAGGGAACTCCACGTGTTTGATAAATTAAAGAATCTGCACACGCTTTTGCTCTAAAGGCGATTCAGCCCACACACTTCTCAAGGGTTTGTCACGACACAAGCCAATCCTGCCAGAGCCCACCCGACCCCAGAGAAGTCTTGTATTTTACGAGGTCGAACTATATGCAACTACCGTTTCTGTTGGTCAAGTTCAGTTGAATATTGGCAATTTCATACGCGAGAACCTCAGAAGAAGGCGGTCCGCCCCAGCTTTATTCCCACTCTCCCCGGATTCTGTCGCATTCGCGTGATTGGAACGGTGGGGCCCGAGGAGCAGGGCTGGGCCGGCCTGGGCCCGGCACCCAGTCCAGCCACCCGCCCCTCCCGGAAGGCCGCCCCTCTCGGCCAGGGCAGCGGGGAGGGGACCCGGGGGCCCGCACGCACCTGAAGAGCGGCCCGAGTTGCAGCAGGTGCAGCAGCAGCACGAGCGGCCGGTCGCGGCTGAAGTCGCGGTGCACGAAGAGGAGCGTGAGCTGCACGAGCGCGCAGGGCAGCAGCGAGAAAAGCAGCGTCAGCGCCTGCCACATGCCGTCCCCGCCCTTGCGGTAGGTGCTGCTCAGGTACAGCGCCGCCGTCGTCTCCGCCACGAACAGGAACACGGACGCCAGCACGGAGCCCGGGAATTTCATCTCCGCGCGTCAGCGGCGCGCACCCGGCGGCAGACGGGGTAGCGGCGGCGGCAGCCCGTGGGGGGGCTCCCGGCATGCCCGGCCCCGACTGCTCCCGCGCCCTGCGCTGCCCGCCGAGGGCACCGGGCCGGCCTAGAGGCCGGGGCGCTGGAGCGGGGCCTGGGGCGACCGGCCGGGCTGGGGTGGGGCGGGGAGCGCGGCCCCGCCGAGACACGCCCACGCGCACCGTGCGCCGCCCGCGCGCCACACTGCCCGCTGCGTCTCTGCGGCGACAGTCCTCAGGCGGGCCGCGAACCTGCGTCCTGCGACTGCTCTGCTCGCGCGGCAACCCCAACGGCTGCGGCGGGCCCTTCTGGCCCCGCGCTCAGCCTCTGGGTCCTAGAGCCCTTGGGCCGCGCTCCCGTTCACATCCTTTTGAAAAACTGCGACCAGTGGGGCCCAGAATCCGGGTCTGGACGCCTTTTCATCCCAGTCTCTATTTTGTGGGCCTAGGGAACGCCTAATTCCTCAAAGAACCAGCGTTTCCGGTCATTTAAAAATACCCAGACCACACAGATGCTTTTCAAAGTACAAGTGTAAAGTCCTGTAGCCAGGATTTACCGTTTCAGTGGGTCCCATAAGCATGCCCTTCAGTCTTCCAGATACAGTGGTCTAAAACGCTGTTTGCTGTGGTTGAAGAGCGTCAGGGACAATCCTTAGGAACCAACGCCTGCTCTCCCAGAAAAACTGCCTACACAATCTATTCCTCTGTAACTGTGACTAACTCATAGAGGGAAGTCCAGGACCTAATAAGGAAACGGTTTTCTAGCCCAAGGCATACCTCTGCTTGCTAGTGTGTGCCAGCCCCAGGACTAACTCCTTTTCACTCACTGAGCTTGTGACAACCTTGTGAACATCAGGATGGGCTCAGCCCACCCCCCTGTCCCTCAGAGTTTGAGCAAGTCACTAAATCTCCCTAAAACTCTGGTCTGTTCCATAAGGGATTAAACCTTAATAATTACAAGGTCCCTTTCCCTGCTGAAATTAGGGCAGTCCATCAATCATAAGGCATATCTGTCATTTTTCTATTTAGGAAAATGATGTCGACACAAATAGAATATGAAGATTCAGAAGAAATCAAGACAAAAATTGTAGAGGGAGAGAACACGAAGGGCTGTTTTTCTTCATTCTTGTGTGGCATGGGAAAATCTATTTACAAGGGTTGAGGGGAGGATACAGCCGACAGCTGAGAGGTAGCAGGCCCATTCTCTGAAAGGATTACTAATATCTATTTATAGAACCCAGCAGGCCACCATGTCCTGGATCAAGATACACACACTGTCACAAACACAGAATAGGCAGCAGCACTCCACAGAATATTTGGGTAATATTTTATTTGACACCGTATTAAGCTTTAAAGGACAAATTAATTTGTAGCTTAGAATTATTAATTAGAGCGCACTCAATATTTAGCATTGGATTTTAATTTAAGGCAAAGGATTATCACAGGTTCCATATGATTAAGTAGACTGTACATAAATATGGGGAATTATAAGCCAATAAATAACATTGCTTTAAACACTATAGAGCCCAGTTTATGGTGAATTATTTTCTACAGTACAAAATACAGAAAACACATTTGGAAAGACCACAGTGCTTAGAACATTGTAACAGCAGTTTTTAAAACAGTAAGGTGCGTCTCTAAGCTTCTGACTCAATCTTGCTTCTAAAGAGATTTCATTATACCACGCTAAGGCGGTGAGAAACGCCCCCCACACGAAGGGGAGGCAAGATCAACTGCCTGTAGCACTTCCCCCTCCAGGAACAACCAATAGCAAAAGCTAAAATCTGATGAGCATTTGCAAGTTGATCCTTCTCAGTGTGCATGCCAGCTAACTTGCCCCAATGACTGTGTCTTTATGTATTATCATTTACCATTTTGTCCTTGAGAAGAATGTATACATTCAAGTCTATGATTGCTCTTTCCCTGTAATACCTAAGCGAACTTTGACTAAAGATCAATTTAATGTCATGTATTACATTATACTTTCTTTCTAGGACTGAAATACCCATTTTTTTAAATATTATGTACATAATAATAGACTTATAGAAAGTGGTTTTTTGGTATAATAATATGTAACATACCAGAATACTTGAGAATTTGGTTTCATTATAAAATACAGTACTACAACATTTTGTGATATAGTAAAATATCTGGCAGAATGTTCTGTTCTAAATTTAGACCTAACTGCTAACAATACGTCTTTGAACGCGCCTCAAAGTACCCCTAAAGAAATATAATATAATTAGCAAGAGGTCGTAGAACCTGTTTTTGGCAAAAAGACATTTTTGAAGAAGCCTCTCATTCTGTGTGCAAGACTTTCAAAATTTTAGTTATATGCAAGAGATAACTGGTGTTGGACTTAATGTTAATGGAAATTAGAAGTTTAAAGTAATAACTAATCTCTATTATTTGGTGTATTTTTTTATAATTTTATGTTAAATCTGCATTTGTGCTGAGGCAAGTGTATTGCAAAGAGTACAATTTTATTAATAATATTAATTTATTGATCAGTTCTTCAAAATTTAAGACTACTTTAAATAATAGTATGTATTCATTCCTAGATACAATTAGGAATAAGCAGTTATATTCTATTGACAGATTGTTCTTTTGTATCCCCTAAAATAATAAAGAATTGCACTAGTTTACTAGAGAATGTGAAATGTATCATTAGGAGGGTGAGATTTTTTTCTCCATTGATACAATCATATTTCTGTAAGTATTGTGAATTGTGCAAAAACTCTTTTTGGCGAAGTAAATCCTATTCACTTGGTAAATACACATTCCAAAACTAACATGTGGTGCTTGACTATTCCCCATTATATGGCTTTGCAAAGTGTTTCCTTAATAATTGGATTCTACAAAATCCATTTTAAAAATGTTTGTTAATTTAGCGCCATTAAATCCATGAGATTAAAACTCAGACTGTCTTTCCAAGTAGAGCTCCCCCAGATGTTCAAAGTTGGGAAAGCTGTTTCCTTTTTAGAGAAGGGGCTGCCCTTCATGATCAGACAGATTCTAAAACCAAACTCTTGCATTTCAAATGTTCCACTCCTACTCCTGGAGAGTCTATATAAAACCGATGGTATACTTTGCATTTTCAAGAGCAAAGGGATTCTGCTGTTAGTTTTCAGAAGACATTTCTAATACTGAAATACTAAAGTCCTAAAAAACAGAGACAAAACTGATCATTAAGATCAATCTTGTTTGAATACATACACATTATTAAGAGTTACTGCAGTCAACTTGGACCAAATTCAGCGACAGAAGTTGATAACTGGTAATTGCCACTTAAGCACAGATAACAAAGCAAAACTTATGGGGGCGGCATCAGAGGTCCCACTAAAGCAAAGGCAAAAAGATCATTTGCTGAAGATTGACAGCGGTTAATCTTACACTTTGCAAAAACAGTACACATTAAAGCATGTAAATCAACACCACACACAAAATAGAAAGCAACAGCAGGACGGTATTACTCTACTTAAAAGGCTGTATTATACACATTCAGATGTTTCTCTCCTCATCTTTCTAGAGTGCTCATAATTTCTGAAAGCATGAGAGGAAGGTGTGTATTTGGGTCCTTTCTGAAGATCTATATCCATGTGCAAGACATTAAAGCCATCTGCTGGTTTCAGTTTACTACGGGGTTCTAGAACAAGGAAATGTATCTTGGTTCTCAAGTGATTCTGAATACAAAGAATAAGTAGAGATAGGCTCCAAGAAAAGTGGAGAAGGAGGGGAAGACACAAAAGCTTTTCTCATGTAGAGATACTTTCAGGATTTTCAGAATTCTTGTCCCCAAAAGTGTAGTGAAGAATGATCTAAGGTCTCTGAGGACAAGATAATTAATAGGGCTTAATATTCTGGGACAGAACCATCATTCTGATATCTTTAATGGGGCGGGGTGTAGGGAGGAGTATTAAAACTGCACTGTAGAAAAGACAAATTTTGGAAGTATACCATAAACATAGCATGTCAGACTAACCATGTTAGTCAACAACTTCAAACAGGTTTCTTTATCCAAGAGGGCTTTCTCAGTCTGTGATATGTTAATACACCATAAAAATCTCCAAAAGGGGGCAAAAGATCAGAACTTGCCTAACTTATTCAATCACAGAATCTACTTTTCCCCAGGGCAGCTCTTGGTTTTAGCGTTCAGAATTTGGGGAAACACTGCAGGACTCAAATAACATGCAGTGGTTTGTCTCCATTTCCTCTCGTAACAACAAAAACATACATCAGCTGTGGGAAAACCTCATCAAGACTGTGAAGCAGCAGTGAATGCCAGCCCTCTGCTGTTCAACACAGTGGCCACCCCACGTGTGACTCGTGAGCCCTTGAAATGTGGCTGGTCTGATTTGCAACGTGCAGGAAGTATAAAATACACACCAGATTTTGAAGATTCACAACCAAAAAAAAGGTAAAATAGCTCATTAATAATTGTGTACTGATTACATGTTGAGATGAGAATATTCAGGAAACATTGAGCTATATCAGATACATTATTCAAATTGATTTCATCTTCTTGTTTTTCCTTTTTAAATGTGGCTACTAGAAAAATTTTAAATTGTATGTGACTCGTGCTTTCGGCTCTTTGTGAAACTCACATCTGTTGTCTTCTACAGTTGGCTACTAATGGCTCTAACCTGGCAGGAGTTTTAATGAAAATGAATGGTGAAGATAGACAACTAGAAGTGTAACTAGGACCCTCATTAATTATGCACTAATTCATTAGAGGGCAGTTAACACACAGTGAAGACCCATTCATTAATCAGCATATACCAATTTACCATTCAGATATATCTAAGAGCTGTTGGGTTTTATATCATATGTGATACTGACTCTCCCTAAGTCAGTCTCTCGATCTCTCTCTCTCTCTCAATCTCTCTCTGTCTCACACACACACACACACACACACACACACACACACATGCAATTTCGTACAGGGTGGGGCAGGACTAAGAAAAACCAAAGAGCAAACAAACAGGAAGGGCTTGCAAACTGTTTTCACGGTCCTCCACAGTCAAGCCTCACCTCCTGTATCTTTTCTCCCTTCTTCCTTGATACTGCACCGGGAGGAGAAAGGCAAGAAAAGGAAAGCTAGCCTGCTCCTTTCACCGTATGACTCACCAACAAACTGCTCCAAAGAACAAAAATATGATTTGGTTTTCCTTTTCAATGATTTTTCAGATTCAGTTCAGAGGTGGAAGTAACAGGTACCTGAAGGCAAACAAAGATGCAGGCATTTCTGCAGATCGGGTCAGGGACTTTGCCATTTGTGGAAGAGTCTAGGTGGAAATGACAAGGTTCAATATTTGAAGGGAATTTTTTAAAACGTTTTTTTTACCCCTAGAGGCATCATCCATCAGGCCTCAATTCATTAGCACTTCCAATTAAAGAAAGAGGGAGAGAGGGCACCCTGCCCCCACAGCCCAGTAGATTTATGGTAATGCAGGAGGCCCAGATACTTAATGTAGCATCAACTCTGGCATTTTCCCACATTACAAATACAATGAGGAGGTTTCTTTATGGAGGAGAAGCAGGACAAATGCAGCCGCCATTCTATCCTCCTGCACAGCTGTGCTCAGGGTGAGCTGTCCTGGACCTGCGACCCCACTGCACAATGGGCCCAACTCCTGCTGCGGCTGACCTTGAGGTCAGCCCTTCTGTCCAGAGGGGAGTCCAGCCTCATGGAGCCTGGAGCTTTTAGCTACAAACCGACCTGGATGGAAGAGATAAGGAGAAATCCTGCCCTCCCAGGCAAAAGGAGGTCACATGATTAAGCACACACAGGAAAAAATAAACATCAGAATGTACTATTTAAAGACCAAAGGGAGGACACGAAGTTGCTGAATGGCAGGGGAGGCTGGTGATGGGGGTGGGGGGTGGGAATTAGAGGTCCCAGGAAGCAATAAAACCCACATTTGGAACACCAGCCAGTTTCCCCACCTACCTGTGGCTGCCTTTCCATTTGCTTTCCTGGCCAAGTTTATGCCAAGTTAACGTGGCCTTGGCAAATCTGAGGCTGTTCATTTAGCTATTAATTTGGGACAGTGTTAAATAAACAACCCAGATCCCCCAAAGAAGGCCTCATATGTAATTGAGAGTATGCTTCTATTGCTATATGTCACACAGTTCTGAGGCCTGAATTACACTGAGGCCTGAATTACAAACTCAACCAAAAATACTGTATTTCCCAGTTCATTTTTGCTCTGCAGAGCTCGCCTGCCAGCTCCTTTTCTCACATTACTGGCACTGTAATCCTTTGTTTCCAGCAAGCAAAATAAATATTTGCATTAAAAGGAGCTCGAGCTAAACCAGCCTATTCCTATTTACTAAGCCCCAGTGAGTCAGGAGGCACAAATACTATGGTCAGGATTGGTTCTAGAGTAAAATATATTCAGGGGCGCCTGGGTGGCTGAGTGAGTTAAGCTTCTGCCTTTGGCTCAGGTCATGATCTCTCTGCTCAGCAGAGAGCCTACTTCCCCCCTCTCTCTTATCTGCCTGCTTGTGATCTCTCTCTCTGTGTGTCAAATAAATAAATAGATAAAATCTTTAAAAAAAAAAAGAATAAAATATATTCATTTTTACCCATCAAGTGATCCAGACCCCAAGCACTGTATCCACATACGGAGATTCCATTTGGCTAAAATGCGTATTTGAGGTCAAAATCAAGCACAGTTTTCTACACACATCATAGGTACTTAAAATCTAGGTTCCTGGGCGCCTGGGTGGCTCAGTGGGTTAAAAGCCTCTGCCTTCAGCTCGGGTCATGATCCCAGGGTCCTGGGATGGAGGCCCGCATTGGGCTCTCTGCTCAGTAGGGAGCCTGCTTCCCTCCACTCTCTGCCTACTTGTGATTTCTCTCTCTGTCAAATAAATAAATAAAAACTTAAAAAAAACCCTAGGTTCCCTTTAAAATACATAAAGGACCTGCATATTACAAAACTCTTTTATAACCATTTTTTCATTGGCAATCCTCAGGACAACCCTGTGAGGTGGAGAAGGCTCTTTGCAATACTAATGTTTTTTTTTCCCTTTATTCATGGGTTCCTCAGCATGGTTATAAATCACAAGCTTGCATCAGTTGCACTGAAATTATTGACATTTGTTCTCTACAGGAATTGAAACAATTTGAATACTACCTTGATTAAAATCTTAGTGCGTCAAAGGAAGTTAATTATATAGTGCCATGAAAGAGTTGCTATTTAACATAGCCCAACAAAATGACTGTTTCTCAAATGACCAGAAAGTAAATACTATTATCCTAATAGTGTCGTCAGTTGCCTGAAGAATCACAGGGGGTATCTATGCTGAAAAACCTGCTTGTTGAACCTCAGTTATTAGGTTACAAATGGAGCAAAAAAGTAAAAACTGATGGCCGAAATGCGATTGGGCAAAATATATGATACTTGGGAGTATGTGTGGAAGAGAAGGTCCATAACTGTGTTAATGAAACAAATTCACAGAGTTGTAATATTCTCCAAAACTTCCCATTCTTAAAGTATATTCCAGTCTCCCCACTGTGGAGAGATGCTTTCAGTCTATCCTCATGTATTTCCACTGTTACCTTCGGGGTTTATAACTATTCATGCCACATATAGTAACTAATATTAAAATTACACTAGTGGTGGTGAGAATGTCCCTGCAGCCTTCACGAGCCAACCTGCCTAAGCACATATTCCGAAAAGGATGTAACTGCTTAGAAGGGAACAAGTTGGTTAAGGAAATAAGAAGTGACATGCCATGCTTTCTACTGCAACACTTAAGGGTCTTTTCCCTCTTCTTGGGAATACAAGATAGAAGAGGGTCTCCCAAAAGCTACAATTCAACTCTTTCAGGAAAATGAAAACTTTCAGCATGTTTAAGTGCTAAACAAACTTACCCTTGTTTCTCATTTACCCAGGTGTCAACTCATAAAGACACACTCAAACATGGCCTTTGCTTGGATTTGACACACAAAAGGGCTGCCTTTTCGGAAGGGTCAGCACAATGTCATGGTTACCCTGCTAGACCTTAAGAGGGTGGGCGAGCATGAATGTGTCCAGTTGTCCTGAAGTTCCTAGAAATGAAACTCATATGTCAAACTACATTATCCCTTCTTAGGGCTTTAGATTTCAGGTGTCAAAATGAATGGTGAAAGGATCAGCAAACAGAAACCAAAGGTACCTTCCAGGAGGGACTTTGGTTCACTGTTGTATCCCCAAATTCTAGTCTAGAAGACTGAATAAACATACTCGTGAAGGGAGACCCCGGATTTGAATTTTCATTCTGCCCCGTCCCAGCTGTGAGACTTTGGATCAATTACCTAAATCATCTTGAAGGGTTGGTGGATGATGAAAAAAATATGTATTGCACAAAGCCCGGTATATTGGATGCTTATTACTTTCAGCCTTTAAAGGGAATGCATTGAAACCAGATGCTGAAAAACAGGTACCACTATCATTTCAAAAGGAGACTACTCCATAGAAAGCATTTTGCCTTAAGGCTTTCTGAGAGGGCCTCGACTATTCATGAAAGAATTTCTAGAACCCAGCTTTGAGAGTCATCTGAAGCTGTTATTTATGTGGTGTTGCTCCAGCCTGAGTATTTTCAAAATGAACAAGCGAAGCCAATTTCATCTATTTATATCTGAGGATATGAAAATGAAACAATAAATGAAAAGGGTGCATGTTTTTCAAAACCATTTTGTCCTCACTTGTTCTGATGAGTGCCAACAGATTCTTTGAGAATCTTATAAATGCTAGAGAACCTCTTCCCAGGAAAATAAGTGTGCACAAGTGCACACACACACACAGCACATGGCACACACATACTTGTCAACACACACACACACACATACATTTTAGGCAACAGAGTATTCCCAACTCCTCCCAGTTTATCTATAAAGCAAGAAGTTAGGAATTACTGAACTTAATAATAAGTGTTTGGGTTTACATGGAGATAGATGTAGAATACACATATATATTTTTTACATCTATCACATATATGCAAATATTTGATGACTATTTCAATAATTCTTAAATCTTGTACGGCACACAAGTCTCTCTTTACTCCGATATATGAAATCGCCAGTAACCAAATTCTAGGAACTGGGTAAGCTCACATTGACCTGACAGGTGTTACTGTATTCTGCAAACCCCTATTTACCTGAAGTAGTTTTACAATTTCTACATGTCTATAGCAGGGTAGAATTTAATATGACAGCTTGGCTCAGTGGGGATTATAGACAGTTTCTAGTGGAGCCCGTGTCTGGAGGACTAAGGCAATCAGCCAACGAGTTCACTCATCTCTTAACCTAACAGCATGAACTTTAGCAATGTTCTTTTCACCATCACTAGGTCTCATTCTCAGCCAGGGTCTGCCTGTCCCAGGAGCCCTAGTATTCCATGAAAGGCAGGAACGACATAACTTTGTAGTGGCCACCCTGATCTTTGAGATGAGCAATTTTTACCACAAGTGTATTTTACAGTTCAGCTAATAGCTTCATAGGGATTACATAAGCATTTTAATACGAATTAACAATAGAGAAGACACAGCTCACATTTCAAATTGAGAAAAATACTTGACTGCAACACTTGCTACAGTATTTGCTAGTCTATGAATTTTACTATTCTAATTGAGCTTTAGGAAAGAAAAAGGAACGAGGAAAAGAGATGTTAGGCCCAAAAGAACCTTCGAATTTCAGGACTTAAACTGAGTTTTGTGAGTTTGAGCCCCACACTGGGCATAGCGATTACTTAAAAACGAAATCTTCAAAAATAAAAGAAGGTTATGATATGTTTCCTTTAAAGGGCCCAGAGAAATGATTAAAGATAGAGATCCATCTGCAAATTTCTCCATTCAGTAAAAACATGAATTTGAATAAGTAAAGGCCTAGGACAACCAAGAGTTTCCTTTTTTTGTCCTTTAGCAATCTGACATTTTATCTTTGCTAGAAATTTTCAGCTGGGCAATTACTTTGGTTTTTTATTGTGTTTATTTCTGAATTTAGGGGTGGAGGGTACCCACAAATGGCCAAATTCTCTTTCCAATTGCAAAAGTACTGGCATCTTATTGACATGGTCCACATTTCAGCTTTGTTTTCTATGCCATAACTGAAAAATGGATGATTTCTCTTTCCTTTTTTCCTTTGATCTCTGGTTTCACAACTATTCCCTGAAACTTTAAGTCTCTATGGTGTTTAGAAGAGCTGTGGGGTCTTAATTCTGCAGGTTCACAAACGTTCTTCCTTCCGTCTGGTATCATGTTGCCTTCACCTGCCTTCTCCCTCCCTTCCTTCCTTCTGGCGGCAATGTTAAGGCTCATGGTTGTGATACCATTGAATGTGGCTTATGTGGAAACTGCCTCGGGTAGGCTCGGGAAATCTCAGGGACCTTCTGCAGGGCCACAGTGGGAGATGGAGCCTTCTAGACAAAGACGCTGAAGAGAGGGAACTCAGCCTGATTGGGCTGCAGCAGATCGATCAGAAAGCACACCGTCCCGGAGAATCCCTCATACAAGCTGTATATACTTTCAAGGACACGAGAGCCGGCCTTGAATTCCTCCGTAAATAAAAACTCAGCAAACCTATGAGAAGAAGAAGAACATATGAACAGTTTTAACACGAGGGTTTCCAGATTATTGGCCTTGAGTTGCTTAATATTTTAAGAAAGACTTTTTCTCTGTTTAAAAAAAAAGAGAGAGAAGAAAATCTGTTATATAACAGTGTGTGTTTCACAACAAAATGTGTTGACAAGCAAATTCAACTACTGTCAGAGTTTGCAAAGCAAAGCAGTTTGGTATTTTCTGTGGATTTCATTCCTTCTGCCATTCGATAATTAAAAGTAAAAGAGACAGATAAATAACCATATTTTTATTTACTTGGAATAGAAGCAAACTGATGTATGACTGTTCCTTTAAAAGAGTAAATATGCTGTGTTTCTGCAGTCGTATCATTTCTGAGCTAGGTTTCATTTATATGTGACAGAGAGCAGAGACTATGAAAATAAATGGGCAAGATTTTATACAATCTGTGCTTTGGGCAAACAAAGGAATAAGATGAATGGGAAAAGGCGAGCAACATTTTATAATCATGACATCAAATAGCAAACTCAGCTACAAGATAGATTATTTTTAGGACATCTGCCTTAAATCACTAGCCTCCAGATTCTCAATGAAAGATCCTTTTTCTTCTACCTGTATTTGCCACAAATCCTATTCAAATTCTTTACAATGAGTAACATTTATAGTACTTTAGAGCTTTGAAAGTGTTGTGACCTGTGTTCTGTCTTTTCGGACCTGCTTTGTTGGTTTCTGTTAATGATGCAATCACCCAATTCAGAGGAACTCACAGATGGGTAAGGCCTGAGAGCTGATACTGCCATAAATTTAATTATTGCTACTGTGTGAGTGTGTGTGTGTGTGTGTGTGTGTGAGTGTGTGTGTGGGGAGTCCCATGAAGAATAATTACTTATTTGATCTTTTTAGGGCTCTTGGATTTATCAACAGCAGCTTAAAATAAGTCAGCAGGAAACATATTGCAATTCTGTTTGGTACAATTTTTCTATCAACTGTTTTCCTGAATATGCAACAATTTTTAAATGGAGTTTAAAATTTTCAATAGTAGAATGATGATGTCTCTTGAGAGTTAATTCGAAATTTGTCATTATGCCATGAAACTTCAAAGTATAGCTTCGAGGAGCCATAAGCTTTCCGGTGCCATGGATCATTTCACAGTCTGTACTCCTCCCAGAAAAAAAGTCTTCAAATACAGAAAATAAAACACACAGGATTCCCAAGGAAATTAGTTCTATCGAGGCACAGTTAGCAAAAGTTGTAAAACCAAATTTGTGAAATAATAATATATGGATTCTTCATTAACACATTAAAGCACAAGATCTAGCAGTGAGTCTAATAACTGCTGACATTTTTAGTAGTTACGAGAGTCAAATATATTTCATAATATCTGCAACAAGAGCAATACGGCATGAGAATAGCTGTGACTTCTACTGGTGAGAGTCACGGCTAGCGCTAATTCTCCTGTGGCTTATTACCCATGTCCAGAATTGAAGGTAATGCTCCTTTTCAGTTCGAAATATAATGCTCTTCTCAAGTAAATTCACAAGCCCTAGATTACGAAGCCCTGGTAGAGCAGAAAGAGGAAGGGCTTTGGAGCTGAGATCCCCAACTCTGATAATTTCATGTTATATGACCTTTGGCAAATTTCTTAATCTGACTTTAAAATGGTGAAGTTGCAGAGTTGTGTAAGATGACCTGTAAAGATTAAAGATACCATATATTAGGCTCTGAGCATATGGCAAGCATCTGATATATGGTAAATATCGTTTTTCACATAAACATAGTGGAATGTTTGTAAAACGGAGACAACCATTCCACCGTACCTGAAAAGAAACCCATAGTTAATTTTGCTCTTTCTCCTCCTGACCCTTCCCCCCCAAGCTTTGATTTATTTAGCACATTATTGAAATTATAGTCTGTATAATATTTAGTATCCTACATTTTACTTGAACGTAGTATGATAAACATTTTTTGCACTTTTCAAAATAATTTCTAAATGATATATAGCATTTTATAAGAGTAAATAGACCAGCAATATATGGGAATAGCAGTTTCATTGTGTTCTGACGGGTATAGTGTGTTATCCCATTCAAGTGAAAATGACTAACGGAATTTGAATTAAAAAAAGATAAACAAGATGAAAATGATTGTTCCCCAAATCTACCCAGTGATGCAAAATTCAAGCTAGCAAATTCATTTTTCTAAAAACTGCTGTCAAAATAGAAGTCAGAATGGTAATTCTAGAACTAAAAAGAACTATAGACACTGAGAACATTACATATCAAAACCTATTGATTAGACAAGAATTGAACTCTGGAAAATTCATTCATCTGAGAATTTCATTATTGTTATTATCAGAAAGATGTAAGGTAGTCTCATGAAGCATTTTTTTAATAGTAGAAAATACAAAAGGAAAGAAACACTAGAAAAAATAAAGGCAGAAAGTTTCTATGAATTAAGAAGCAAATGAAGCACAAAAAGAATCAATAAACAAAACCAAAAGCCAGTTCCTTGAAAGGATGAGTGACATAGACAAAATGCTGGTGTCTGACCAAAAAGGAAAACCATTAGGAATGCAAAAAGGTACATAATCACAGGCATGGGAAATTTAAAATACCATGAAACTACACTGTTAAGGTTTTACATCAAACATTTGAAAATCCATATGAACTAAAAGCTTTTATAGAAATATATTCACTACAAAAATTAATTCAAGAAGAGGCAGAAACCCTAAATAATTAAATATGATGGAAGAAACTGAAACCATTATCAACTATTTTTCTGCAACTATAAATTTCAACCGGTGACCAAGTAATGTTTATTACAGGAAGGCACATATTGTCTGACATTAGTGTTTTAGGAACTGCCAAAATTTGGGAAGTTTCCCCAGTTTGGGCCATAGAATATTTAACTTTGAATTACAATAAAATGGAAATTTCAGTACACTAAAGCAATTAAATGCGATGTCCCGCAAATATTCAAATATGACCTGCACATTTTCGGGCTCTACCTGGAAGTGAGAAACGGAACCTGTCTGAAGGGCCCTGGGCCCCAGAACCTCATAACTAAAACTGTAAACTAGGATGGGTCTGCCAGAAAAATAGAGGGGTTGTTTTGGTCCTTTTTTACTAGGCTTTCTAGGGCCTGACAATCTCTGAGGAAACCAGTCCCAAAGGTGATACTGCATTAGTCTAGACAGAATTCAAAAGGACTTTCTTTTTCTACCTTTGGGAAATAAAGGGTCAGGCTGCAACCAAACAGATTAGGGAGCCATGAATGAAAATATGTTAAAGGAATTCCTGAACAATGAAGCTCCAAATGGAGGCCTGACATATGTTAGTATTTTTCCTTCAGTTCCTACTGGCAAAAGTCATAAAGGGTATTTCATATATATATATATATATATATTTCACCTGGAAAAAATATATGTATACGTGTGTGTGTGTGTATATATGTGTGTGTGTGCATACACACACACACACACATATATATATACACACTGAATATTAGCTAAGTTGGCTTGGGAAAACCTTTGTGAGAAAATGACTTTAGAGTGAAGGTCTGAATGAATTCAGGTGCCTAGGAAAGGGAGCATTATAGGTGGGGGAACCAAAACTTCTAAGACTGTGAGGTAGGTTGCACTTGGCACCTTAAAAGAACCAACAGGAAACCACTGTGGTAGAAAGAACTAGGTGGAAAAAAGTAGACGATGACATCACAGAAGCAACGGGAGGCAAGATCCTGTAGCGCCTTTTGTTCAGAGGACAGACTTCGGCTTTTACTCTGAGTCATATGGGAAGCCACTGGATTTTCCTAAACAGAGGAGTGTCATAATCTGACATGATATACATCCTAAGAAGCAAATTTCAAAGGTCATGGTGAAACATGGAAGCATTCTTAATAAAATCATCATTACTATTGCCTCCATTAATGAACATTTTTATGGAGATTCCAACCCATGCAATGAGGGAGGTGGGGGAGAATACAAAGGAAGAAGCAAGAAACAAAATTGTAATTATTTGCAAATATGTTCATCTATTTAGAAAACCCAATGGACTCTAATGAAAATCTAATATAAACAGTAATGGAGTTCAGAAAGATGGCCAGATATATCATGACATCTATCAAAACTAAGACATTTATAACAATGCAGATTTCTAGGAAAGAAGTGCATCTTAGCTTGCTAAACTGCAATAAAGATTGTGCTCACAAACCTGGAAACATAAAATACCTAGGAAGAAAATTAACAAGAAACATGCAAGAGCTTCTTCATAAGATGAAAACCTTACCAAATGACATTTCTAAAAACTTAAATAAAGGGAAAACATACCACATTCCTGGATAGGAAAACAATATTCTAAAGATGTTAATTCTCCCTAAAGTAACATATAAATTTATTGAAATTCCAATCAGATGGCCACAGAATTTTTTTAAATCTGAAAACTGATTCTAAAATACAATGGGAAGGGGGCACCTGGGTGGCTCAGTGGGTTAAAGCCTCTGCCTTCGGCTCAGGTCATGATCTCAGGTCCTGGGATCGAGTCCCGCATTGGGCTCTCTGCTCAGCGGGGACCCTGCTTCCCCCTCTCTCTCTGACTGCTTCTCTGCCTACTTGTGATCTGCCTGTCAAATAAATAAATAAAATATTTAAAAACAATAATAATAAAATAAAATACAATGGGAAGAATGAATGAGAGAAAATGAATAATAAAATATGGCAAGTCCAGAAACAAACATTTATATAAATTGCTTATGATAAATTTGACATTTCAAATCATTGGGGTAATTCGTCAATAGATATTATTGGAACGTTTTGTTTTTTCATTAAAAAACACAAAGACAGATACCCAGATAACACCATTAGAAAAAATAAGTTCTAGATTAATCAAAGATTTGAAAGTTAAGGTAACTTTTGAGTGGGTGGGACAAATGGGTGAAGGAGGTATAAATTTTATTTTTGTGAAAAGTTAAAATCACAAAGGTACTAAAAGTCAAGTAAATTGATGTTTTTGTAATCTTGGAGTGGGAATGGTCTTTTTAAGTATAACACAAAATCCAGAAATCTTGAAAGTTTAACAAGAAAAATACTCAAAATTTTGGTCTGGCAAAAGACCACAAGCTAAGTTGAAAGAGAAATGGCAACATAGGAAAATGTTCACAGCATATATTGTAACAGAGAGTTACAGTCCTCAAGCTAAGCATCACAATAGGATAAAAATAGGCAAAAGATGGGATGCCTGGGTGGCTCAGTTGGTTAAGCAGCTGCCTGCGGCCCAGGTCATGATCCCAGGGTCCTGGGATTGAGTCCCGCGTCGGGCTCCTTGCTCCGCAGGGAGCCTGCTTCTCCCTTTACCACTCTGTCTGCCTGTGCTCACTCTCTCTCTCTCTCTCTGACAAATAAACAAATAAAATCTTTAAAAAAAATGGGCAAAAGATAAAAACAGGCCAGGAATAACAATGGGTCTAATGACTTCAATTCTAAAATTTCTGTGACAAGAAATGCTTGCACAAGAACACAGAAATGTATGTACTAGATATCTGGGACAATTTTGTTCGTTATCTGTAAAGATCACACAGGTACCAAGTGTTCATTACTTAAAGACTGGTGAAATTAATCATGGTACATCTATAATGAATAACTGTACAGTCATTTAAACAATGAGCTAGATCTATAGAAACTGAAATGAAGGATGTCCCTTGGAAATTGTTAATTTAAAATCATTAGCTGTAAATAGCATGTATAGTACTATTATATATACATAATAGTAGGATCTTATTAATATTTATATATATACATGGTTATATATGCATAGATATATGGACATGCATTTATGCATTGAGAAATGTCTCAAGTGATAGAACTCTAATTTTTAGTAATAATAACAGTGAACACTTACATTGCAGTTTTGTGTCAGATACTGTTCTAAATGAGGACATTATGCTAAGTGAACTAAGCAGGTTACAAAAAAGACAAATACTGCATGGTAACACTTATATGAGGTATCTATACTAGCCAAATTCGTAGAAGTCAAGAATAGAATGGTGGTAGCCAGACACTGGAGACAGAGGGGGAAAACAGAAAGTTGTTGCTCAATGGTTATAAAAGTTTCAGCTGTGCAAGGTGAATGAGTTCTAGAGATCTACTGTACAACACTGCCTACAGCTAACACTTAAAAGTATGTTAAGAGGGGGGGCGCCTGGAGGGCACAGTCAGTTAAGCATTCGACTCTTGGTTTTGGCTCAGGTCATGATCTCGGAGTTGTGGGTTCAAGCCCTGCACGGGGCTCCGCATTCAGTGCAGAGTCTGCTTAAGATTCTATCCCTCTCCCTCTGCCCCTCCTGCTCGTGCTCTCTCTCTCTCTCTCTCAAATACATAAATACATATTTAAAGAAAAGGTTAAGAGGACAGATATCATGTGAAATATTCTTACTACAATAGAAAACAATCTCAAATATACATACCCTTTGGCCCAGCAATGCCATTTCTAGGGCTTTATCTTTCAGATGGACCCATACATGGGCAAAATGATATATATACAAGGTTATTCATGACAGCATGATTCGTAACGTAAAATATTGGAAATAATGCACATATCCTTCTACAAGGACTTGGTAACTAAACTCTGGGTTATTCGTACAATGTAATATTACACAACAATAACAGTGAAGAGTTGCTCATGTGCTGATTTAGGGTGACTGCTCAGATAGCAAGGTGCTACCACTTGTATAAAAAAAAGAGGGACAAAACTTCAGATATACAGCCCGCCTATTCACTTGTATATACATACACACTGGATCTCTGAAAGGAGAACTAAGAAAGTGGTAACACTGTCACCTCGAAAGAGAAGCACATTGCTAGAGTGCACAGTTGACGCATTTTTCACTTTCTAAACCATGGGACTCTATCACCTATTCAGAACATGAATTCGATTCACGTTTAGGAAAAAAACAAAGAACAATCCACGCGATGATCAGCTGACCTTTGCGCCCGGTAGATGTATTTGGAGTTTCCGGTGAGACGGTAGAGCAGCAGGAAGACGTAAGCACTTCCAGCCACACCGTGGCAAATCCCCGGTCCCTTCTTCAGCAGGCCCTTCTGCCACGTAAGTTCCCCACACCGGATACACGTGTCCAGGTACTGTGGTTTTTTGGAAACCAGATAAGCTTTGGCAAACAGATAGGCAATTCCTGTGAAAACATTGGAGATATCAGAGGTGACTTTGGAGCCTTATGCTACGGAGAACTTCTCCAACACTCTGTAAAAGGCTCACACATCACCAGTGTCGAACACCCATTCTAATCTGGTGGGTCTGAGGTGAAGCCTGAGATTCTGTTTTTCTAACAAGCGCCCTTCCGGGAACCACGTTTTCATTAACAGCACTCTAGAATCTTCTAGTCTTATTTTACCTGTGAGATTTAGTTGTTTGAATTGTATCATGGTATTGGCCCCCAGAGACAGAGCAACAAGTACAAAGAGTGATACAACCCATAATTGACAAACGGGTTAAGATTTAACGATGGATACTCTGCTAAGCATTCTGCATATCTGGCTATTTGAAATGGCTAAGAGTTTATACAGTCTGCCTATGCCCCCTCAGAGGTTCGGCATTTCTAATGTTAACGTGCTTATAACTATACACATTTTCTTCAGACAAAACTGGGAGTCCTTCCAGAAAAAACAATGATCCCAAACGACCTGGCCAAGACTTCTACTCCAGCCATGGAGCGAGTCCTTCCCTACTTGATTGTTCCAAAGGAAGACATCTGCCTTCCAAACCCCTCAGCAGAGGCAATCTCAATTACACAGGCGGGAACAGAAACAAGAGGAGCAACAGCTATTCATGAAAATGAGTTCCCCCAAATTCCAGATGCTCATATTGAGAGAGGAGATTAGTAACACCAGATCTCTCCGTCTCCCGCACGGCCTCTACCTCTCTCCTACATAAAGTGGGAAAGACTGGAATTTAGCAGGCGTAAGCTCATCCATCAGGGTTATCTTGGCCTCTCACTGTCTTTCCAAACCAGGCTATTTTACAACTCTGTGGAGACAGAAATTACCTTGTAGACAACTGATAGTAATGTAAATAATTCCTATTCCTAGAAAATCGCATTCTCTCTGGGAGAGGTGGTTTTGACTTCCCTCAGCCTTTGCGGTAGCAGCTGGTTTTGCATTTAGTAAGCAAATCCACGGTAGGTCTGCACTCCTAATGGCCCATAAATATGTCTGCTCCTGGAATTTTACTTTGAAACCAGCTGTAACACCTTTCCGGTTCCTTCATTAATTAATGAGCTAAATAAAATTGTTGACCTATGCTTACTTTATGTTTGTATGAGTCATGATTGTGTTCTCTTTTAGAATTTATTCTCTAGGGCGCCTGGGTGGCTCAGTGGGTTAAAGCCTCTGCCTTCAGCTCAGGTCATGATCCCAGGGTCCTGGGATCGAGGCCCGCATCAGGCTCTCTGCTCAGCGGGGAGCCTGCATCCTCCTCTCTCTCTGCCTGCCTGTCTGCCTACTTGTGATCTCTCTCTCTCTGTCAAATAAATAAATAAAATCTTTAAAAAAAAAAAAAAAGAATTTATTCTCTAACACTTCCTATGATTAACACATAACCAGAAGCTCTCCTCCGCCAAGGCTTTCCAGTCAACTACTGACAATGGTCACCTATAGCCTATTGTCCTTCCTCAGTTCTAGAAACGAAGTGTCTTCCACAAGCTAAAAGAAGATTTTAAAAGAATTGAACTTAGTTAATTACACATTTATTCATTCACTGTATCCACTCATTTTTAAGTGATCATTGATTACTGCATACATAGCCCTAAGCAGGACTTGTTTCATGGGCATGTGACCTGTATAGTCTCCAAGGGTCTCCAGAAGACCTCAAGCTGGGTTTAATACTCTGCTGTTACCATCTTGAAATTAATAATTGTTTTTTTTAAAGAAGGCTGCATTTTCACTTTGCACCAGGCCCCCCCAAATTATGTAACCAGTCCTGGCCTTGGGTTCTATGAAGTAAATGCTAAACAAGATTCCTGACCTTCAGGAAGGTACTGTCTAGAAAGGGAGAGAAAAATTTGTGCATGTGAGCGATACATCATAGGACATATAGTTCATGATGCTGTTGGAGCCTAAATTGAATGATGTTGTCAATAACCCTACAGGGATCAAAAAAGTGGAAGTTCCCTGAGGGAGAGAGTTGGGGAGAAGCCTGGGATAGAAGCAGGGCTTTCTTTAGGACTTTGCAGGATGCATAGGAAACTCTAGGCCCAAAATGAGTTAGAGAGAGCATTCTAGGCATCAGGATCAACAAGGGCAAAGATTTGGAGACACGGCACACAATCCACATGAAGACCAGTAGAGCAGTGTTGTAACCAACAGGACAGGGAGATGGAAGTGTGGATTGGGTTCACGTTATGGATGGTTTTACAAGTCCACTTAGGCAGCATGGACTGTATTCTGTGGGCAGTAGGGAACCAGTGGGAGGGATTTTGTTGTAGATTCGTTGGTTTTTATTTTTATTGATGTGGTTAGTATTAGAGAAAATGTCCCACGCTGGTGTCAAGAGAGACCTAAACAAGCACAATGGGGTAACTATGAGATGATCATGTTGTCAGAAAGATGGCAAAGAGGCTAATAAAAGGCTCAAAGGATGTGGTCGTTGTTTAGATAGTAACTGAGCACCTACTGTATACCAGGTACAGTAGTAGGTGCTAAGGTTTAAAAAAAAACCCTTCCCTTCATAGTGCTTATGATCTAACTAGAGGCACTAAGTTATCTGAGGGGAAGTAGAGCTGTCATGGAACACACAAGAAGGCTCCTAACCCACCCCTAGAGGTAGGAAAGGCCCACTAGGGGGAGTGACACCATCTGGCCTATCAAAGATGAGGAGGATTTCGCCAGGTGAACTGGGAGCCCTTGGTGCTCTGCTGGATTGCCTCTACCTTACCTGCAGGTGCCCCATTTCCCAGATGCTACAAGTTGGCTACTAATAAAGCTCTCAGCTGCCCTCTTCTTGGGAGATTTGCACTCAGCCAAAGGAGAGGCTATGCTATAAGCCCACCTCCCCAGGCGATTTCAGCCAAAGACTGGCTAACACGGGGAGACCAAAGGTCAGCTCCCCTGCCTCAGGATGGACCAACTCTGAGGTGTCATCTGTGCCTCTTAGCATCCACTCAGAAGCCAGGTGAAGCTAGTCTCCAGTTGAGGTACGAAGAGCCCTCTGTGACCCTCTGTTCCCCTTCCTTTTCTATGTAGTTCCAAGCCTCTGACTGACTTTTCTTGGAATAATCTTCCCAACTTTCTGGCCCTGGCCAACTCACCTCAGGCATCACTGCCTCCAGGAAGCCTTTCCTAAACCTGGAGGGGTACCAGGAATCCCTTTTCTGAGTTCCCATCATTCCCTATACAAACCTGAGCACTTACACAATATCATATTACAATTATGTTTCTATTCCCCTAGAATAGTGCAAATTACCCACGGGCGGGAACTCTATTTTGTTCACCTTTGCTCCCCTCGTCTACAGCCTGGTGTTTGACATGGCAAGGGCTCCACAAACACCTGCTGGCTTTATAACATCTCATTTCTCATCCCAGCACAGGCTGACACCGCAGCGGAGACGAGGTGTGGAAGCAAGAAGGGCTGATAGGGTCCGATGGCTGTGCCAGGCCATTAGCCCAAGGCAGCTTAAAAGCTATCGATCCTATGGTTCTGGCCAGAGACAAAGGACCTTTCCTGCAGCCTGAATCACACAATGGTACATGGAAAGGACCTTGAAAGACTTCTAAACCCCTTGTCTTCTAACCTGACCTACTGAAATCCATAATAAGGCTGCTTAATCTAAAAGGAAGGAATGTTGGGTTTCTTTGCTTTTGATAGGAACTGTGTCATTTTGTCATCAGAACACTGGTTATTGTGCACTGATAAGAAACCCAAGTCAGCAACGATACACATGTTTACCAAACGCTGGGAAAAGAAATTATTACTTAAGAAGTATGGTTTGAGAAGCTAAGCCTGTGAAAGTTCGCAACCTAGCAAAGCCTCGTGACAGCTCTACTCGGTACGCGTAGTTTGAACAGATTGGAGCATCACCGCATAGGTCCGATCTGGGTCCGTCATTTCAATGAGACCCGCATCGTACGGTGTGCGACAACCCTTAGTGACCAATGACACCCACCCTGGAGAAGCCCTTGTTCTCTAGTCAAAGTCACATACCCAGGAGCCCTTGTGAAATGATTTTAAAAACTAGCCACACCTGTGTTTCACACAGCGGAAAGGAAATGCACAGTCAGTGTTACCACGGTAATGATGTAACATAACGCAACCCAGAGTTTATTTTAGCCGTGGCATTTGTTTAATGATTTGGTTAATGGCTCTCATCCTGTATTTCAGAATCATTAAGGCTATGAAGAGGTCAGATGGATCTGCCTGCTATACTTCGGTGCATTTAGTGAGAAAAACGAGACGCTACACCGGTTATTTCTAATTTCTAAATGCGAGGCATCTGCGGATCTTTCGGGGCGTGTCCGTCAGGAGGGGCAAGTGTCCACAGGATGAAGGGGATCTGCAGTGATCAAAAGACTGACTTTCACCGCTCCGTCTCCACACACTCGTTTCACAGATGAAGAAACAAAGCCACGAAAGGCACAAAGTGGTTTTCTCAAGGTCATTTAGTGGTTAGCGTTGGAGCTACGATTAGAACCCAAAGTTATTAACCTCGAGGCAAGAACTATTTCCATACTGCCTACATGATAACGAGGGCTGTCACCTATAGAGGTGGGGTGAAGAACCAGTCGATAGGAAACAATTATAGGGGGAGATCAGATAGAGCTGATGAAGTTCCACATTTGCATTATCTCCCGCAGGTTTTTATTCACGGAACCAGTCTGCTGCCCCAAACCATCCGCGCTGTTCATAAATCTACTCTCAAAAAATGTTTCCCACCATCAAGTGAAAATGATTTTTCTAAGTCACCTTTTTTTAAGAATTTTGAGGGAGTTCAAGTGTTGCCAACTTGATGGTCTTTAACCTGTACCCACCAGATTTATAATCACACTTATGCTGTTTTCAGGACATCTCATAAAAGGAAGACCAATACCCTTGAGGGGGGAGTGCGGGTTAGCATGCAGAATGGGCCCCAGTTGGTTCTCTATTCATTTGTGAGGCGGTTTATTTCTGGTAGTTCAGTGGATACAGGGGTTTAATGAGTTTGCTCTGCACCTTATGTTTAATCTTATGAAGACACAGAACGTGAATGATGTATGAGGAGATATAAAGTCCCCAAGGTGATAAATCCTACACCATACGGTTACAGTACAGGATTTACAAAGACAGAAGGAATGTGGTGTACAATGAGGAAGGAATAACTGCTCCACAAAGACACCCCCATCGATTAACTGACCCAGTCACTCATTTTAAAGTATTATCTTCCCATCCTTTGCAATGCTTTTCCTAGTACATTGAGTCCCTCTAAAATATTCTGTTTTTAACTTGGGACACCTCCAAAATTCAAGGATTCTGGGGGTGCATGGAGGATAGCCAGACACCATCCCTGAGAATGATTAAAGGGAAATGGGATATGGGACTGGTGAGCCTAACATGAAGCGATATCATTTCCAGAATGGTAAATGACTTGTCTTTCTCCAGGAAGTTCAAAGCCAGAAGAAATGGGCTCAAGTCATCACCAGCGGGAATTAGCCTGGACGTAATGCGCAACGTGCTGGCGCTGGTACGAGCACACACAAGAGGCTTTGAAGTCCCTTCCTTAGGTGAACGTGGCAGGTGGAGAGAACATGGCCAGTGAGCTAAAACTTACTCTTCAACTCAAACTGTATCGAAGAAAAAATGAAATTGCAGTTGGATTACAGAAGATTAATTAGGTAAGGAGTGGAAAGGAAATCATAAAAATCAGGTAACAGACTAAAGAGAAATCGAATATATCATGGCACTGAAGCATAGCCTTGAAAATTAAATCCACTCCTGGGGCACCAGGGTGGCTCTCAGTCAGTTACGGGTCTGCCTTTGGCTCAGGTCATGATCTCGGAGTCCTGGGATTGAGCCTTGTGCCAGGCTCCCTGCTCAGCGGGGAGCCTGCTTCTCCCTCTGGCCCTCCTCCTGCTGACTCTCATTCTCTCTCTCAAATAAATAAATAAAATCTTTGGAAAAGAAAAGAAAATTAAATCGACTCCTGATCCAAAACTTTTGTGTTATTTTGGTATTTTCAATCTCTCCCTTGGCCAATCAACTGAAATTAATTGATTTATTTGAATTTAATTTCTTTCAAATTGCTCCTTCTCAGGAAGCCTAATTAACAGTATAATGGGATTTAAAGAAAGGAAGGAAGGAAGGAAGGAAGGAAGGAAGGAAGGAAGGAAAAAACAGAAGAGATAGAGTCTGATAAGTTTCTAGGCTCAATTCCCGAGAGTTCACTGCAGATGGCTTCTCAGTTCTCTAGACTTTTTATTAGGTGATGATGGAAATCCTCATTTGAAGACTTATGGAATAGTGCATCTCAAACTTTAATGTGCATATAAATCACGCAGGGATCTTGTTAACATGCAGATTCTGATTCCGTGCATCTGGGATGGAGCCTGAGGTTCTGCATTTCTAACCAGCTCGCATGTTGCCCCGGCCCCTGGTCCAGGGCCTGCATCTTGAATTAGCAGCCTCCAGATTTATACTGTTCAGCACAGATATGGAGCCCTTGCCATGTGGCTAGTGGGAATTGAGATGGGGTGTTAATATAAAATATACACTAGCTTTCAAACACTTTAATATGAAAAAAACTGAAATAGCTTGAGTTTTAAATTGGTTGCATGTGGAAATAATACTTGGGGTATACTGGGTTATAAAATATATACTATTAAGATTCCTTTCATTTGTTTCTGTTTACATTTTTAATGGGGCTACTAAAAATTTAATTTCCTATGTGGTTCATATTATATGTTATAGAATAGTGCTAGTTTAACTTATACACAAATAGCTATAGATCATATATTTTAAAAATTACAGCATCAGGGGCACCTGGGTGGCTCAGCTGTTAAAGCGGCTGCCTTCGGCTCAGGTCATGATCCCCAGGGTCCTGGGATCGAGCCCCACATCAGGCTTCCTATTTAGTGGGGAGTCTGCTTCTCCTTCTCCCACTCCCCCTGCTTGTGTTCCCTCTCTTGTTTTCTCTCTCTGTGTCAAATAAATAAAAATAAAAAAAAATAAAATTACAGCATCAGTTCTGGAGATCCTTTACAGATCAAGACTTTTTTTTTGGTTGGACAAGCTTCATCTTGACCTTTTTAGCTCAAGTAGTGATGACCTAACATGAGAAATATCCTCACTCCTCAGAAAAGACACCTCTCTTTGGCTAATGTTTTCAGGTAATAGTGTGGGTGAGACCTGGGGCGCCGTGGCACCAGTGCACCAGCTCGTTCTCTCTCTCGATGGCCTCGCCGAGCTCGGGAGGCCAGTTGCAGTTCTGTTCCTGCTCCATGAGGAAGTCCACACTCTGCCACACCAGCTCCTGATCAGAGGGCTTGAGGTGCTCATGGTAAGACAGAAGCATCTGGAGAATGGACGACAGGCCGTGAGCTGCTCCTGTATCAAGAAACAAATCATAATTAATTCACACAACTGGGAGGACAGCCCATTTAATTTAGGGAAAAGACAATCATAGTATTTAAAAAAAATGAATGGCAATATTACTTGAAGGCAGACACAGTAAACTCAACTCCATAACAGTAAAGCTTTCTCTTTGCACTCAGGCACTTGAACTCTCCAAAAATGGCCTCAGTTTTGTCCAGTCAAAAATGATTCTTCCGGGGCACCTAGGTGCCTCGGGTCAGTTAAGCATCCAACTCTTGGTTTCAGCTTAGGTCATGATCTCAGGGTCGTGAGATCGAGCCCTGCATCAGGCTTTGCACTCAACAAGAAGTCTAATTGACAGTCTCTCTCTCCCTTTGCCCCTCCAATAAATAAAACTTTTTTATGGGGGATAAAAATGCCCCCCCTAATAAATAAAATAAAATAAAAATTCTTCCTAAAATTTAGTCATAATACTTAAAGGTACCTTTCTTTCACTGGATTTTTGTTGGGTTAAAAAGCTTCCCAGGAAAATATTTATGCATTAGATAGCAATCTGATTTGTGCTATACATGTAAATGGCTAGAATGTTAATTTCTCTAAGAAGATAGATAGTGAAAGGAATAGCTCTATTAAGGAACTCTAGCAGACACTGCCGTACCCTGCCCATCACCTCGCCCACACTCACCATTCTGGGGCACCTCTCCTCTCCACCTTCGACCTCAAGCATTTATCCTTCTGCCTGAGGTTTTCTCTGGCCACAGGGGTATGCCCAGCCCACAGGGGCAGGACTGAAATCCTAGGGAATTAACAGGTCTGGGAACAGCCCTTCACCCAGGAAGCAGGGAGTTGGTAGATGAATATCTCAGCTCCCTCACCACTGAGGTACAACAATTCTGAGGCATGTTCTAGACAGACTTCAGGGTCCCCAGTGGAACCAAGCCTCAGTTATCCACAGCTGTTCACTCTTACATCCCTTATTAATCTCTTTCTCTACCCTATCTCACCTCCTCATTCCTTTAGCAACACTTTCTAGGATCACCTCCCAAATAAGCCATTAATGCCCAAATCCTTGTCTCAAGGGGCACAATGCCCACTGAGGCGGTTGGACAGGCGAACCACTGATAACAGCGTGATGTGATAAAGGCTCCAGCAAATGTGTAGCAGAGTGACGTGACACTAACCGATTTTGCTTCAGGGTAAAACCTGAAATGTGTGAATGTTTCTCCAGAGAGGACTCAATAAACCCTTTTTCCAAAAGCACAAAGTTTCTCCACAGCTTCGATGTTTGATCAGCCTTGAAGTCTAGGTGTAAGTATTCCAGCTAAGTTGAAGGGGTCGGGGGAGGCCGGGCATTCTGGCAAAAGCAACAGGCACAAAGACTTGGAAGATCTGAGGGCACTTTGCTTGTAGGAGGTCATGCAGGGCAGAACCAGGAAAGGGAGATCTGCAAAGGGGCCTGTAAGTCATGCTCAGGAGTGATGGGCAATCACTGAGAGATTCAAGAGGGGAGGAACTAATCTTCACTCTCCAGGCCTCTTATCACAAAAGTAGCCATTATGAATCAGGAGTCTGTTATTAATCCACGAATATTAAACACTTGGAAATGTCAGTGGCTTCTTCCTGTTCCCCTGTGCTGAAGCACCATTGGCAAAAAGTGTATAAACCAGTCACAAACTTTTGGTGACATTCAGCCCACGAACTCACAATCTAGAATACGGACTTCAGTCTTTAGTGAAAGCAAATCATCAAAATACCTTTTTGTCAGACTATGAGAACAAACATTAAATTGTGATTTGTAGGATCTGTCAATATTTGTTTTTACACAGCATTTTTAAGTGTTTCTAGTTAAACGAATAGTGATGACCTATAACAAAAATGGAATCTTCTAGTTTTTAGTCAGTGTGGATATTAGAGGGCTTTGCCAACACTTTCACTCACCCAAGTACTCAGTTCCATAGTAAGAATACATCAGAGGGAATGGTTTCCTTTTTTTCATGGCATACTGCTTCCCAGAGTCCAGAATCGCCTGGCAAATTGATTTGATCTGTGCTGGGGTCAGTACCTGAGTAAGGAAATCAAGAAGCAAAAGTCAAATCAAGATCTTCTTTTTTTCCACAGACACTGGATTTTTTCATTAAGGTCCATCAGCATATTCCCCAAATCCTTTTCCTCTTATAAAAACAAGCTTAGCGAGCAGTGACTTTTTTTTTTTAAATAACTGATTCTCTTTTTGTTGTCAAGTTTATCCACCCTCTTCAGAAAATTTGCTGTGTTGATGGGAAACACACACTTTTATTGCCCTAGGCTTTTATAAAATGCAAAGACCACTTTACTGTGGTCATGTTATTAATCCTTGTCACAGGAACAAGAACTTGCACAAGAGAAGAACAAAGACTGGGCCTAATGGATCATGCTTAACAAAGCTGTCACTCCCAGTGTGCGGCGCAGGTCTGGCCCAGACAACAGACCTTCAGTTTGTGTCATTTAGACTGCTTATAAAGCCACAGTGCTACGACAGGCTGCTGCATGCCAGACGGTGGCCTTTGCACCCCAGAATGAAACCAAAGTCCAGTAAGTACCAAGGCAAAAATCACTTCCAATGTCAAACGGACTCTGAATAGAAGAGGCTAAAACGCAATGACTTGCGGGCTTCCACATTTCACTCAATCTACCCACGGTCCGTTTTAGGACCCTAGAGATGAAAATGTTCTCGAGCCTACAAAGCAGTGTTGAGTTTATTAGGATTCTGCTTACGCGTGAGAGGTTCCTCCCACCTCCCTCTGGTTCATTCCTTCTATCTCACCATGACTCTCTGGGGGAGCACTTACCACCTGGGGTGTTATGCTTCTGTCCCTGTCTCTCTCTACTAGATAATCAAGATGCCCCAAGACTATGGCTTCTCACCTTTTTGGTATCCTCAGTTCCTAAGACCGAACCTGAGGGGGCCTTTGGGAGTAAATAAGCACCAGGTTTTTACTGGCATGGAAAGCAGAGCCCTCCCTCTTTCCCCTCCTTCCACAATTATTTCTTAAGCCCCTACTGCATGGCGGGAAAGCTGTTCTAGATGCTGGAGGTATGACAAAGAAAAGATAGCCAAGACCTCCGCTCTCATGAAGCCAACCTTCCGGAAACGCACTCCTGCACCAGAAAAGTACCAGTCAGAATAACCGTGGCCACTGTCTGCCCCCTACCTGCCCCTCCAAGAATCATCTGAAGTTCAGCCTTGGTCTGACGGAATGACTCTAAGATCAAAGAAAAGTCCGTTGGATTTTGGCCCCTCTCTTAAGACTCACACACCAAATCTTTCTGTCTGGTATCTACCATTATACTCACCAATTCCTTCTGAAATAAAGTACTACTGATTTTTTTTCTTTCCCTCTCCCCCCTGCCTCTCTTTCTTTCTTTGCAGGGTTTTGCTCCTCTGATCTACTCAACATGAGAAGGGCAAAATATAATCCAGATTTTGGCCTCCTCCAATTAATTTAGAAAATTAATTACATAAAGAGGAGGCTGTTCATTAATTAATTCTGCCAAATTAACACTTACTGAGTGACCATTCCAGTGAGGTCCTATACCCGGTATTATGGGGGAAATTCTAGAAAACCTGGGACATGTTTTTTCCCTACAGGGAACTTACTTCCAGCACTGGAGATAAGATATAGCCAGAAGTCTACCATAGAGCAATTTAAGTCCATGAGCTTAAGGGTGGACAGAGTAATGCAGAGAACGTAATACAGACAAGGAAGCACGGTTCAACTTCACCAAGACTTTACTAACTCATTTCCTATCTGGTTGCTCAGCAATAATGATGTTGTGGCTTTCAACTTAAATTTACTTTCTATAAGCAACCTACCTCTGTCTCTTGGGTGTACTCCTCCTTTCTGCCTAAAATTCCTGAAGACTCTATCTTCCCAGACATCACTGCCATCATTTCAAGGCTCAACCTTGGGTCTTTGCAGAGCTGAGCAGCCAATTTCTCCTAAAGGATTTTCTACCCTGCATCTACTCAAATTGCTACCCTAAATTTTCATTTGCTGTTAAAAAACACCTTTTCCTTTGTGCCTTTATCAGTGCTAGCTGATGTTACATTGAGCCTTACTCTACTTAAAAGCTTCTATTCCCCCTCCAACCACGCCTCCAGGTTGGCCTGCTCTCAGAAACATGCTAAGAGCCTCGAACAGCATGCATTTCATAGGACTCTAACCTGGTCCCAGCCCACATTTTCCTGGCAATATATCTGGCTCTTCAGATGAACTTAGGTCCTGAATCCATATGACAAGAAATAGTTTCTTCGATAGGAAAAGATCATTGAATCTTCAGGGTATGTATTCATTTGAATTACTAATATTCTTCTTATTTTACTTCTATGCTACTAATTGAAAATCAGCTTATTCTTTCCTCAGCTGAGCATGTGTTCATGTTTTTTTTTTCCTCTCTCTCTGCGTGTGTGTGTGTGTGTGTGTGTGTGTGTGTGTGTGTGTTCACCTGCTTGTTTTAAATGCAGGAAAAAAATCAACTTAGGTTACATGTGGTGCCCTCTTCCTTTCTTTCCATCCCTAATCCACAGCTCAGAATAGAGCCTGAGTTTACAAAGTATTTCAAAACCTCCCCGGTCATGCATCATGTCTGCATGGTTTCCTCTTATCTCTCAGAAACACTGTGAAAAACAAAGAGAAACAGTGCTAGTTTGGCTGGATAAAGACCAGTTATGCATGCAGTTCTTTATCTCTGGGAACAGACAAGACCTACCCTTGGGCTTATTGATCAGCAAATAAAAAGTGAAAACAGTGCTCATCAAAAGTGTGTGGAGGAGGAATACTGAGGAAGAGTGTGCGGTTTTCTTCTCCCTGAGCAAACAGCACAGAAAGAAGAGATGCGGTGGGAGGCGCTTGTCCTTTCCTTATCTGTCTGCTTTCTCAGGCGTCTCCAGCCCCGAGCCAGCACGCAGGAATGCGTTCTTAAGCACACACACTACCTCTGAGAAGATGGCCTCCGTGTTTCTGAGAAGAGGGCCACGGTGCTTCGGAAACACCAAGGCCCAAGGAATGAGGAAGTGGCATTTTCAGTGGGGGGGGGGGAAGTGATGGGATGGCAGAGAGGGGCTCCCTGCCCATTGGGCCTTTGCCAAAGCAAACCCAAATTCCCTCTCTTGTATTTGTAGCACCTAAGGCCTATGTGTGCATTGTTATCTTGGATGGATTTGGTTCTTCAAATAAATTGTCTTCTACGTTGATTTAAAATAAATTATGATACCTCAAAAATACAAAGCAAGTTTGATTTAAAGTTCATTAGTTGAACTGATTCCCTTCACCGATCCTCACACAGAGGTGTCTGTGTGAAATAGTTCCTATGGGGCTGGGCTCTGCGTTTGAAGAGCTGAGAGGAAGCTCAAGCCCATGCTATGTTTCTTCGCCCCACCTGAGGGTTGTGTGGTAACTGAGCCATCTCCATGGCCAGCAGAGACTTTCATTAAGGAAATGGATGAAATGAACAAGCCACAGAAAGCTTCCTTCACCACAGACCTCTTTCCCAGGCAAGCCTGCCCACAGGCCCTCTGAAGTGGTGGTCTTTTGTAGCTACAGATCAACCACTGCCAACGTGATCAAGCAATGGTCCAAAATGTCCTGAGTGTGTGACTGCTCATCTACGTGGAATGCAGAAAGCCACTCCTAGATCGCACCGAACACACAGTAAAAATCTGATATTAATTTATGTGCTTCCCTCCAGCAATTTATTTGGCCCCAATTCTTTGTCTACCACCATAGGTGGCAGCCTGGGCTTCTGCTCAGAGAAAAGAAACAAGCCATTTGACTACCAAGGGGTATCAAAATGACTTGATGCCCACAGACAAAAGCTTTGAGGAAAAAGCTTTTGAGTTGTCAGAACCTGGGTATTTTCCAACTTAAAGGTGATACCATAAAGAATACTCTTGAAGGACATATAGAGTCAGGATGGAACTAAAAGCTGTTTAAGGTAGGAAGAGTTGACACAAAAAGGAAACCAGGAAGTTGAAAGCCAGTATGGAGTTCCGGCTCTCCTTCCTACCCCGCCTTGTGCCAAGCCTTAGGAGAGGTCTTATAATCCACCGGATAGGTTTGGGGATTTATAGATAGCTAGGATGTGTGCCCTCTGCTCCCTCCTGGAATTGGAATGATGGAAGCCTCAAAGATGTGTCTCTTGTCTCAGGATCTAGGGCCAGTAAAAGAGATAGCATTGCATGGCACATCCCAGGAGAGAGCCAGAGACAATCCTAAGTTTCCTGTGCATACCATGGTGAAGCAGGAAAAAATATCCCATCCCCAAAAGGAGACTCATTTTTAAAAATTCTCAATGCAAATAATTTCAAATTAAAAAGTTAGGGAAACTTTATTGTACAAAGTCAATATTCAAAATCGGCTAGGTTTTTTGTCTTTTTTTTTAATACTTTTTATGCCTTTTGGAGGTTGTGGTTTGGTTGGAACCTACTAGGTCACAGAGAAGAGCCAGGCCTTCAGAAGATCTCTGGAGTGGGTGGAGATTTACCTCAAACATTGAGAAGACAAAAACTGAGGGAAACTCCTTTGAGGGAGAAGAAGCTTAAAGATACATGACAGGGCTAAGGGATAGCTTTCAAGCAGGAAAGAGATTTTGATGAATCGAATAATTCCTATTTTGTGCAAAGCGTGTGCAAGGCACTCTGGGGGAAGATGTAATCTTAATAATTACACTAATTAAAAAAAAAGAAAGATTAAGGAAGTGCCGTCCTTATATGTTTATTATTAAATTCTATTTTTACTTTCAGATTTGTTCATTTTTCTGTCCACATGTAATCCCCTGCTTCGTATTTTGCCTTTTCTCCCAGTGAGGAAATGGTAAACAGGGTCTTAGAGTTTTCATTGTTGTTTGTAATAGATGCTAAGGCTTTTCACCAATATTCCAGATTTTCTATTAGGTCCAGGGTGAGATTGCACTTCCTGGCTCCCTTGAAATTGGACAGAGACGTGTCATTTATTTTGCCCGTGGAATGTGCGCAAATACAATGTGTATTGCTCTACGGCAAAACCCACTAAGAAGCAGGTAATT